AAAGGACGTTTCGATCGCGTTTCGAATTTGTTTGACCATTGACGATAAGCGTCGAATCAATCAACGGTTCCAGCGTCACGGATCGTTAAATCGCTCGTGCGTACCTTGAAATATGCATATTGATATTAACGGAGGATGCATTCACGTCGTTAATGATACGATCCGCGATAATCGATTTAATAACAACGCCGTTCAATCATTCCGAAACGTGTCGACAGAGCTTGTTTCCCAATTCCGCGCGATCTTCGTCATCAAACGCCGGAAACGTCAATCTGGAAATACATTATATATCGAGACGCGTTAATAACGCATTAAATACTAACGAACCGATACTAAGCGGTGCTAACCGGAGCGATATAATTGCCGATCAAACACCAATCGCCGGCGCATTAATTCGCGCCAGGATATTAGTCGGATCGAATAAGTGGAATTGTATCAAAGAGTCGCATTCGGTCAAGGCAGTAGTGAAAGACAGGTTTCTGAGTAACGGTTCAAGGGTGATCGAAGTGGCGCGCGGTCATTCCGATAAAAAGTAATCATCGCAATCTTTATATTAATTACACGCAACAAGCGAATCCAAGAGTTTCTTTCTTCGATCAGATTTTTTTTGGATGTAATGTTCATTATTTTTAAAAATATATATATATAGATTTAGAAAAACACGAAGGAAACACACGTAATAAGGCCAGAAAACGAGCACCAAATTAATTATAAAAACATAAAATCTATACAATTTAATCGTTAATTCGTCTAATTATAAAGTCATACGGTCATCTGAATAAAATCATCATGTATTCGGTACTCATGCAATTTGAAAGGATCTTTTTGGATTTCTAATCGAGATATTTCCGTTTATATATTTTTCACTTTATTGTATAATTTTTACATTTTATTAGCTGTTTCGATGTAATGCATCATTCGCTCGCGAATATCGATTTTTTATTCGTTAATTACTGAAGAGGACTAAGTATAGGTCGAAACGTTTGCGATTTTATTTATTTTATTCTATCGATTTTATTTCTTCTATTGTATCCTATTTGATTATATTTAAATTTATTTTATTTTATTTTATTCTATATTAATTTTATTTTATTTAGTTATTCTATTCAGATGACTGTATGACCTTATAATTAGACGAATTAACGATTAAATTGTATAGATTTTATGTTTTTATAATTAATTTGGTGCTCGTTTTCTGACCTTATTATGTGTGTTTCCTTTGCGTTTTTGTATTACACGAGCTTAGTTACGTTTCTATATTTTTAGTTTTTATAATTTTTATTTACTTATAGATTTATAAAATTTGTGTGCAAGATTTTCTTAATTATTCCATCTTCATAACTTCCCTCAGGACTCCTCAGAACTGTAGGGCACAATTAATTCTCAATCATAAATTAGTTTTTTTCTTAATTCCTGTAACCGATGCCGGGCTTTTTTCTTCCAAGAGCATTATTAGACAGCCACGCTTGTGCGATGAATGAAAAGCCGACAGTGTGAAATAAAACGAGTAGAAAATTCTTTTGTAAATTAAAAAATTCCTCATTATTTGAAAAAAATACATACATAGATTTATCAAATTTGTGTGCAAGATTTTCCCAATTATTCCATCTTCATAAAGCTTTCCTGAGGCCCCCTCGGAACTATATGAAACACAATTTTTTTCCTTAATTCCTGTAACCGATGCCTGACTTTTTTCGAGCCGATAGTTAAAAAGAAGGGCAGTCATCAATCGGTATCTTGTGTCCGCGTAAGCGACACGGATAAGAGTGATTTCTTTCGAAATAGAGACGCCATACTCGCGAGAACCGCTGAATATTCATATAGGGCGTTTAATTTAATACGGCAGGGTCATTAGCGCGCAATTGCGAATCCTCGATGTCGAAAAAAAATATCGCGCTCTTTCGTTTTTATGGATCGCGCATAGAGATATAAGCCGATAAGCGCAGCAATTTGGTACGACGCGAAATGGCGGCTGCGGAAATTGATGAAAAATTGGTGGCGTCCCTGGTAGTGCGGCAAATGGACAAAAGCCGGGGGACTCCCGCTAATGACTCGGAAGTGTATTACCCCTCCTCCCCCCCTCTCTCACCCCCTTCCGGCCCTGTTCGTCAGTTCGCGAGGATAAACGGCTAGATTGAGTCCCGGCCGCGACGGCTAAAATGTAAATCCTGGAATGGAGGCGATCTGCTTTCTCAATTATATCGTCGGTGATGGATGAATCCTTCCCCATCCTCTGCTAAACGGGACGTCCCGTTTTCCTCCGGAAGAACCAACCCGGGATGAGACGCTTTCGTCCCCCTTTTGTCACCGACTAGAGGTTTATTCATAAATTCGTATCGCGAGATAAACGACGACGTTCGCTTTATCTCGTCTTATTCTTCGTCTCTCGAGAGACGAGTCGAATGAATATATAGCGAGGATACACAGCCCGGCTTCTCGTTACATTGTTATTACACAATCGAGGGTGGGTTTTTCGCGAGACCTGGCGGAAATCAATTTTTCGCGATGAATATATCTTCGCGTGAATTTTAAGCGCGTCTATGTCTGCGGTGAATTTTCGTCGAACGAGAATCGGATCGGCTGAATTTATCGTTAAAATGCGACGTAATAGTAGCAGCTTTGCCGCTATATACGTGAACCCGATGAAGGGAAGAAACTTGGTGGCACAACGTCGAGCAAGCAGTTATTCGTCATCCTTGCCGTCTCATATGGAGAGGAAAGTTTTCAACCCGCTACCGTGTATTTGAACACACACCCACACACGCACACACAAACAAATGGGATGCGGCGCAGTCACGTAGCATGGAAGCTGGATCTCTTGGGTCTTGTTTGCCGCGTTTTCGGCGATTTTAAGGGAGACGAATCGCGGCGAGGATTCTAAACCAATTCCGCGGGCAAAGAGCGAAAACGCGAAAGAGCATCGGACGAACATAAATTACTTCCGTCTTTTCCTCCCTTTTTTTCAATACTCTCTCAGGAACGGAATATACGCAGTTCATGATATCGCTTGGGGAAGGATATCTCGCCGTATAGGTCTCTTATCCTATATATATATATATACACACACACACACACACACACACATATATATATATAAATGTGCTCGGTCCTTTTCTCAAGACATTTCCGACGAGCGTTATGGTGGAAGGATATCGCCCAGGGTGGAGAGAAAGAGCCGCAATGCAGGCAAGGGCGTTGTCAGGGGCGACCCTAGCGACCCTAAGGCCTCATTCGCAGACGAATTTGCGGAGATCCGTTTGCGAAACGGCACCCGCGCGTCCGATCGGTCTCTCGATCCTTTCGATTCGGACGTAATCGCAATGGGGGTGAATCGTGCCGCCATTTGTCGGCCGGGCCGATCGACGTCGTTGTAGCGACGAATTTCGCGATCAGGCTCTATCTCCGACTGCGTTCGAGTCTTATATTTTGTATCGTTTCTTCAGCGAAGGAAGTCTTTCGCTCCTCTTATTGTTTGGATTCGTAGAATCTCGGTGACAGCATTACGAACGGCTAATTGGACGTGCGACACGTAATCCCGTTAATTCCTCATGCAAATGGCGAGACATGCGATTGCGTAATTGTGTTAACCTTCGCATGAACTGCATCCACACTTTGGAGGAGGGTTGCTCTCAGGTTTAGCGGATTCTAGAATTCTCCCACGTACTCCATAAGTCTCCGCGTTTTAACTGCGCTTTCTGCAATTACCTACGTACGATCTTTTTGTTTCCCCATTTCTTTCCTGCTCACCCCGAGTATTAGTCTTGTTTCGTTTTGAATGCAGAAAGCGTAGGAAAGTGGAGCGCTGAAAGCGGAGCGCGCCTCACGTTCGTCGTTTAATTTAATTACCGAGAGTAAATTATATATACGCTTCTAACGTAAGCAAGGGGAACGCAGAACGGCTACTTAATTAGGCATCGCTCCGACTCCCTCTCTCTTTGGAGCAAAGCTTGAGAAGTTAACGGACGCTTGCGTTTGCGTCAATGTGTAATACTCGATTAAGATTTGATGGAAATTCCCGATCGGCCGATTGATTGTCCCGTTGCTCCCGCCTGTACTTTCGCGAATCGAATAATTATCGGGCAACGAGAGGGAGTGTATAGTGGTGTCGAATTATCAAGCGCCAAATCAAGCTCTCCCCGGACTCTCTCTGGGGTAGCGCTCTCTCTCTGTATTTACCCGTCCCATTAACGCCGAATTAGTATGTAGAACGTAAACGCGCCCCCGTAAAATAGAGACGAGTTAACCGAATTACCATAAATCGATGGGTACCAGAAGCTTTTGGCGCGTGCCCGCGAGCGGGCAACATTTGAACGCACGAATGGTGCCTCGATGATGCCGTGTCGATTCTGTGTCCCGCAGACATTTCCCACGTGTCCCGTTAAACCCATCGCGATTTATCTTACGTGGACGTGGATTTAGAACGTGGATTTTCCCTATCTTGAAGATACACGAAATAATAGGGTGTCTAGCGGTCAGGGATAACCGGGAATTTTATAAACCTGGAATTGTTAGGGAAAAGTCGGGAGTTTGTATTATTTTTACCTGGATTTTTTCACATTATTCTACATTTGTCTCAGTAATTTGAAATTTTTATTAAATAAATCTAAACTTTTCCTTGATTCCCAGCACGCTGCTCGTTCATTTATATTTTCATCGTCGTGTTATTTTATTTCAATGTGTTTTGATAGAGACACAACTAAAAAGGGTGATTGTAGTTCATAGTGACACGTTCGTTTCGATTATCGTATATAATGCAGATTGTATGATTGATTAAAATTTTTATTTTTATTTTTAACTTTCGAACCTTTTCATTGTTGACAAAAATGTCTCATAGATTTTATGACATTTACTCTGATTTATCATATGCAAATTATATATTTGGAAAAAATAATTAATCTCTGGTCTTGAAAAATCTGCAAAAGTGAGAGAATTTTTTTCATCGAGTCTGCTGAACACCCTGCGAAGATACACGAAATAACGACGAATTGTTCTTGTTGCAGGTCGATTTGAAACCTTTGCGGGAGGCGACGGTCGCGGTACCCGCGCCGAAGATCACCGAGAAGCGAAAAGCCGAAGACGCCGACGCCAGCAAGGATCTGAAGAAGGTAAGCGTAACCTTGTTTGCGCAGACTGTGTTTGACGAGCGATTTAATAGATTACTCGGTACAGTGAGTGAGGCGGTTGCGTTGAAATTAGGGGATGAGAAAACGCCTCTCTCGCGCACTTCAAGGACACTATCGAGTTACAAGTTATTCCGGTGTCTTCGGAGAACCTCTTCGGGAACTCGAATTTAATTCGCTGCAGAGAAGCAGAAGAGAGGACTTTCGGAATTTCACGCGTTTACAGCTGCTTTCGATCCGACATCATACATATATACATCCCCGATATATTCCTCCCCATCGCGGTTGCGTGTGCGTATTCCCTATTATCTAGGATAGTTAACGCAATTAACGCCGGTTATAACCGGATAGCACCGGCATGTACATACCTATCTACTCCGATTCGCCGTCCATTTTCGTGCCCTCGTAATTCACGTGGAGAGCTGGCCGGCGGCGTGGGAGAGAGTTTAGCAGATTACCGTATACATATACAGATGCGCGCGTGCTATGTATGTGTGTACATGTGCGAACGTACCCGCCTACCAATCTATCTGTGCCTCCTCGCTCGTCGTTTTCGTCGATATTCGGCGTCGTCAGCCGCGAGGCAAGGCCTCATTAATCTGCTGGGCGCGCGCGGTCGCTCATTAACGAAATAAACGTTGCCGAGAGGCGAATCGGAACGCCGCGTCGCGTCACTCTTCGCTTCGAGATACCCGAGTTGTCGACGTCACTGTTGCCGTCGGCCTTTGACGTTTAGCCTCGCGCGGATTGCGAGAGTTAACGACGAGAGTTGCATGCGCGCCGATAGTTCTCCGCGGATGAGGTTAACCCGTCCTTGGTATAAAAAGAGGATATTGTTGGCAATCTCGCGGAATCAGCGTCAGCAGTCGCGCGGATGGATTCACCGACAGGCGTTACGCAACCATTCTACGTCTTTTCTTCATTTTTTTCCTCTTAGAGAAAGATTATCTTCGTACAACAGCGACTTTTTGCTTCGCTGTATTTGTTTGGATTAATGCATATACAGAGTGTCCCAGAATTATCGATAATCCTGTTAATTGCATATTTATGGGATCATTCGGAGATGATTTTTTTCTCTGTGCAAATGTCGAGAGAGCGTGTCCCCAATTTTTCCAATCTCGTGTATCTTGGTAATTAAGCTTGAAATTAAAATTCCATTGAAGTAAAGTCTACCTGAAATTAACTGAAAGAAACCTTAGTTCGCGAAGAAGCCTTTATGTTCAATCCCTTAATTCGAAAATTATCGGTTTCCCGATATTTTCGCCGAGGAAAAATCGTCTCCAAATCACCTCAGGAATCTTCCATTAAGAGGTGATACGATAACTCTAGGATACCCTATATATTTGTTCGAGTGGAAGGTGTTTGATCGACTGGCTGTACAATAAGCAGAGACGCATCACGGATAAAAATACTCGAAATTAATTTATTCGCGACGCGCATTACGCGAAAGAGATCCGCATAGTTCTTAACGATAATTTTCCCGCGATTATCGTCCAGTACGTTACTAATCTCTCCTCGTTTTTGTGTTCTCCTCATCCTCCCGTTCCCTCCGAGCAGCAATAGTTTACAGTTCGCTTCGAGTTAAGCTAAGATAGCCAGGAAATTAATTGCCCGAGGCAACGCTTGGGAGCCTCGAGCGACTACTCTTGGTCGAGCAATGGCTCCGTTAATCCGCCATTGATCTAAGTAAACTCGAAGCTACGCGCGCGTTTAAGTTTCGCGCTTGGAGCGTCGCTTCTCTGCGTTTTAGCGCGCGTCTGAAAAAAAAAAAGACATCCCCAATTATTCATTCTGCCGGAAAATAAATTGAATTGTGAATTCAATTCGCGGAGAAAAATAAAATCGACGCGATGAAAGAAGCGAACGAGAGAGAGTTGTCTCGAAGACAGGCAGCAACAATGCGTGACTCTTTTTTTCTTTTTTTCCCCAATCCAACTCGACGAAGTCTCTCTTCGATTTCGACGAAACAATCGGCGCCTTGAACAGGCAGCAACAGGCGGCGACAAACCGTGCCAGAGATTCGAGGCGATGGTGTCTGCTGCGTGATTTGTGCAACGTACATGTGCGCTTTCGCGGAAGAGGGTTGAAAGCGCACATTCTCTCATCTCGTTACTCTTTTTGCGACCTGCAACGACGGCGTGACCCGAGAAAGTACATTACGCCCCAAGCCAAGTGTATCCACCCTCTCTCTCTCTCTCTCTCTCGTTCGTTCGCGAGATTCCTCGCGCGGCTCGAAAGAAACATTCCCTCGGGCGAGAGAGTAAGAGACGATACATTATACCGGGGCGCGCGAAAGTAATTTATCTCGCCTCGGCTTGTAATAAATTAGATACGCCGGGATGGATACGCACCCGGGCGATGACAGGCCGCGAGTCGCTCGAGATATTGTCACCGAGAATACCGCGTCTTTCTTTCTCTCTTCATAATAATAATAAAGCTGATGATGATTAAGCCCGCCTCGTTACTTTACGACGGCGACGTTATAATCTTATCGCGGGCGCGAGATCGACTTTGACCGCGTTAAGTCCTATTTACGGACGGGGCACGGCCGTAATGCGCTTGCATTATACCCGGCAGAATATTCGCCATGTCCGAAATTGGAATGCACGCGCACGCGGGTCGCCTCCGGCATGTCTCTCTTTGTCTTCCTGCGTCGTGCGCATTCCGTTCTACGCGCCTCAACATCCGATGTTACAGCGCACGTTCCGCGTCTCACAGGACACACTCTTCTACTCTTTCTAGCTTTCCCTTTGCCGCATAAATTCCGATAATATAAATATATATCTGTCGCGACTCGTACTTTAGTGAGGATTGCGAGTCCTATCAAAGACCAGTGAGTCGCATGAGCCATAAATGGCATATTGCTATATAGTGGAAAAGGAGAGAGAGAGAGAGCGAATGGGCTTCGGGACTTGGAGGAAACCCTCAGACGATGAAAGCAACGCGGTCGATCGTACCCCAGGAGCAAGAGAGAGACCGTCGCTATAACTCGCGGACGGAGGTGGATTCAGACTCGGAGAGGCAGGAGAGAGCGAGGGGGGTTGTTCGAGGTTGGAGAGTGAAAGGGAGGGATGTTTTAGGGCCGGTCGATACAGCCGAAAGTCCAGAGAGCGAGCCGAGTGGCGCGAAAATTCGTGCGGATGAGGATATATCGTCGCGCGAGGGACTTAAACGGAGAAACCGAGAGGGTAGTTTTTGTCCCTCTTTTTTTCTTCTTTTTCTTCTTCTTCTTCTTCTCGCTTCTCTTCTATACCTATCTCGGCGCTCTTTGTGACTCTGGAGAGTCTCGTGTTTCCTCGTCGACGACAACGTCGTCGTCTTTATCGTCGTCGACGTCGGCCTCGTTCGCGGTTGCCGACGACGATGATGATTATTAACGTGTTCACCCGAGAGCAAGCAATACGTAACGGAAGCGTTAATTATTATTTAAGCAAAAATCTCGAGCCTCGTTACGGTTAACGAGGCACTCGAGCGAATCGAAATTGGATTGTTTTATTACATTTTTTTTTTTCCGGATTTTTTTTCAAAGCACACGAGCCGAATAAACACGCGCGAATTGTCGGATCGAAAACCGACTGACTGACTGTCGATGTAATGAAATATCAACGTCGCGGGTGAATCTATTACGCCTCTTGTCGCGATGGAAATTTATTCGTCGTAACGCATGATTTCGATCGTAAATAACTACGTATAGCGATTCCTCATCGTTCGTTATCGCGAATGATTGATCGTTTCATTAGACGCGGTCAGGGACACATCTCCATTCTCTCCTAGAAATTATATATTGTTCTATATTCTTCTTCCATCGTACTTTACGTTGACGTTTCTCTTTTTTGTTTGCCAGATTTCGTCTGTAATTTTTTATCCCACAAAATATGATGAATATTTCTCACGCGTAATCAATTACACGGTAATTGATTACTTGGAGTTATCGTCAATTAATGAAATGCGTTTTCAATGAAATGCACGCAATTAGCGGCACTCTTGAAACAAGCTGTTTGTTGCCTCCATCCTAAATAACAACATATGTATATGTATATATAAATATACGTACATCGACGCATAAATATACATATTAATTTTCACAAATGTTTCCATTTAATATCCATTGTCTCACTCTCGCGAGGTTAAAATAGCCGGTCATTATTGCAAATTACAATTAACTAGTAATATACGCACGGCGCGATGCATCGATGCAAAAACGCGAGCGTGATGCAGTTCTCTGTACATTATGCGGCGTATCACGTTTCGTCGAAACTCTCTCTCTATCGCGGCGGTTAAAAATCGAAAAGCGGAAAATGATCCGCGTGGGTTGATTAAATTTTTTTCTCTCCATTAGAATACAAAAAAATATGTCGACATTAGATGTATAATGATAATATAGCGCTCTATATTATAAAACATATAATTCGATTTATCGATCGATGTATTGTCGCGCGACGATCTCCCTCCAACATGCGAGAGATTTTCCATCGCTCGCGACTCTGCGGCGGCCTTAATTACATTTCTGCCGGTCGGCAACGTTCGCGCTGGCTCGCGATAATCATTGATGAACACGTAAGCCCGCAAGAGAAGTCTTTCCCTCTTGTATCGATATCTATCGATGCCGACCAACCGGCTGTATCAGAGCGATATCGGCCCGGCCGATCGAAAATTCAACGTGCAACGTCCCGTGTAATCCGATTTACTTTTCGGTTCGATGCATCCGCGATTTCGACTAATTATTATCCGCGTTAATTAAAACGTGTCGCGTACAGGAATATTAGGATCCATTAATGTAATGCACCGGTTGTTTCGAACGAGAAAGGCGCGTCCGGCCGCGCCGGATGTCGTTTATTAATTTTAATTAACGATCTGAAATTAAAATGATTCCTTTGTGCGCGAGAACGGGGCCTCACCTTGGGAAAATGAGCGCTATTCTTTCGGATCTCTCCCGTTTTATTTACACGAAATATATCTAACTGTCAATCGTGAAATAGGAAATCATTTGCATGCCAGTGTGTGATTACTTTGGATTTGTTCGTCGGAGTGGAGTATACTCGATGTCCCGGTTGATCTGTTAATGACAGATTCCTGGGATTTTTTGGAGTTGATTTTTCCTCGGCGAACATGTCGAGGTATCAATAGTTTTCGAGTTATATAAGCAATTGAAAATTAGGGGTTTTTCGCAAACTAAACTGTGGAAATAAAATATTAACAAATTTACATTTTTTCAATTAATTTTAACTTACTTTAATAAAATTTTAATTTAAAGCTTAATTACCAAGATACATAATGGCAAAAATTGGGAACCTACAAAAAATGGTCTCCCTTGACATTTTCGCTGAGGAAAAATCATATCTCCAAATGATTCCATGAATCTGCAATTATCAGATTCACCGATGAATTCCGACATCCTATATATCTTGATAATCCTGAATGTTCGATGTATATCTGGATAATCAAATTGCATTCAAATGCACGAGCAATCATTTGAACGAGAGAATCTTCGAATCCCAGAGCTGACGTATCAGCTGATTTTGCTGAAATCGCGCGTATTCCTTATCGCGGAATGTCATGGTTCGCTGGATTCCGGAGCTAAAGCGAGCAAAGCCGGACGAAAACGTTAAGAGGGCGCATTAAGTGCACGTGGCACGTTGCAGCAAAGTTTCACCTTTTAATTAGTCGTCACGCGCGACGCGATTCCACCCTGCTATTCTCGTCCTTAATCGAAACCGCGTTTCTTCGAGATTGCACTTATCTCGCGCACTCGGCGACGTCGACGTTTCTTAATGGTCGACCTTGCACGATTCTCGCCATGTCTCGCAACAGCACGTAACAATCGCGACCGGGACATCTTCTTTCCGGCGTCTGCTTTCTCGCTCTTTTACGAGCGACTCTCGGATTTGTATATTTCAGCGAGCACGTGCGACGCGTCATGTTGTCGAGGGAAGATTTCGCGGGATAAATGTCGCGGACGAAACGACTTTCGACAGTCGGAAAGAGATTTATCACCGGTATATATCGCGCTTGAATTTTCTCCTCCTCGCCGAATTTGAATTTTCACGCATTTACGAGGACGCGTATTATTGTACATTGTGTACGTGCATGCGTCGCCTTTTCATCCCCCGCGTGATTAATCTCGCATTTTCGACGGAATTTTTCTCGAGTCATCATAAATACATCATAAATACACGTCCGCGTGTCACGGATAATTCAATAAGCATATAGGCAAGAAACCTCTGCGTCGCGCAAAACCGCATCGTGAGTTTTCACTTTCTGCCCGCTCCCTCTTATATTGTCCCCCGGGAATGTGCCGTATTTTTTTGCACGATAAATTTATCGTCGCCATACGTCAGCCAGAGCCTGTCCGACTACTAGCTCGTCCACTTATCTACTGCGCCTTTTATTTCAGTCGCCAAGTGACAAATAACGCCTAGCCCGTATGCGTATAGTCTGTGTGTGTTTGTATCTCCATTTTTAATCGAGGGCCCGTCGTAAATCCAGGCATAACCGCGATTTTTGCCGACTGGAGTATTATTCGGTGAGGCCGGGGAGCTAAAAACTGGAGCACACAGCGGTCGCTCTGGGAAACAAAATAAAATTTCCATTCTCCGCAAAAGTTAAGGTTATTCGATAAGTACCGCGGGTGCACTTTCGCGAGGCTGTTATCACCCGCAATATCGTACATATATGTATTTGCACGCGGAATGTGATATTTGTTCGTTTTCTGTTACTCTCGACTATCTTTTAAAGCGTCGCGGCCGCTCTCTTTCTCCCCATTGTCTCATAAAATTCTATTGTTTTATACGTTTTTGCATGTGTCGTGTATGTAGAGAGAGAGAGAGGAGCGCACAGTTGTTCTATATACCGAACATTGCGGAGTCGCATGTAACCGTGGACTGACCCCTCCCAGACCTGGTCACTTATCTCCACTGCGTTCTTTGTTCCAGGCGAAATTGGAAACGAAAGCGCTGAAAGCGAAGAGGCCAGGATTCACGGACGAGCGGTACAACGAGACCAGTTATTACGTCGAGCACGGTCAGTATCTTCCATTAGACCAGTTTCGAATTTAATCCTCCGCGCCAGGGTACCAAGGCCACCTTTAATGCCGCCGAATTAACGCGGCGTCCCCGGAATTTTCGTCTCGCATTCCAGATTTCAGAGAGAGAGAGAAACTTGCGCGTCGATTTTTCGAATCGAAAGCGAATCAACGCGATATTGTCGAGAGAGTTCTCTCGATGACTAGAAAAAAAAAATAAAAATAAAAATTGTGCGGCGAGTCCCCTTAAACGGAATAGGTTAATTTTCAGCCAACAATGTTGGCTTTGCACTCGTGCGTTCGAGTCCGCCGACCGCGAGTCAAATAATCGCGGCTAATCCCCGGCGGATAAACACAACCGGCCGCGATAATCCGTCAATGATCTCGTCGGGAAACTAGGACGACTGCGGGGAAATCGAATCCGAAAAATGGAGTGAAAATTGCGACGCAACAGATTTTACGAGGCACCAGCGTACATTTCCTCTTCCGTGTGGTTTTATCATCGATTTCCAATTTCTCCATTACTTTCGAATTTTTCGGGACAGTTTAGATAAGCTGAAGCGGCGATCGCGCGCGTTTTCGAAAAGGATTTCTATTCGATTGACAAATCCCTAAGGTACTGATATCAATTCTTAAAATAACAATGACGATATTATGCGTGTCAAAATATATTTTTTAAATACGTACAATATTTAATTCTCTTACTTAAAACCATGCCATTTCTATATGTTCGACTCGTCGCAAAAATATATATAAGACAGAAAGGAGTTCTAACAGCTGTACAAATATAAAATTCGCATCGAAACGACATAAAGAAATCCCTATCTTAATCTTTCGACCACGTATAAGGATGCCCCGCGGCGAATTCAAAGGAAAGCTTGAAAAGAGACTACAATAGCGTATTCGCTTCGTATATTGGTTACGGCCGTTGTCGAACGACTTTAATATATCTCTTTGTGGAATAAAACTGTCGCGTCACGTATAAATTCGCCGTATAACTCCGATATACGCGAAAGATATTATTTGTATGGCAGTTAAGTCAATATATTTCGACTAGACCAGTTTATCTTGTGCCAATATGTGTCCCGCGGATCGGAGTAACAGGATACTCGAAAGAGAGAGAGAGAGAGAGACACATACACAGACCCGATCTCTCCGTACTCTCGGTTCATGCGAGAATTATCGAACGCAGATACATCCCTAGGCAGAGACACACGAGAGCTCATTATCGCAAGGGCGAATCCGTGATAACGCGACGGCGAGGAACGCGAGAAATCCGAGATCGCGCGCTGGAAATGGAAAAGCTGACCGGGGGATAATTAAATTACCATTTCGACGAGACAGAGAGAGGGATTTATCGGTCCATCATGTGCCAATATGTGTATCCGATAATCGATGCGAATACCGTAGAGACGTCGCTCCATTCCCGTTTTCGCGAACTCCCTCTACTGCGACATTTTTCCAACGGATGCTACCACCGGGTCGCTTCGGGCAAAAGTTTAACGATTCTAACAATAAGTGAATTGAATCGGCTTGTTTCCTCTCGGACTGCGATATTATGGGATCGAGGGATGTAAAGATTTTTCTTCCTTTTAACGTCAGCCGATTTACGCTTCACGTGATGCATCGGTAAATTGTAGATGGAATTATGAGCACTCCAAAATTTGCATACTTCCGATAAGAGAGTGGATTTTATGATGTTACGTCGATGACACAGGATATATGTTGCATATATAGTTTTTTTTTTTTACATAGAAATTTGATTTTTAAAAAACTCGTAATATAGAGATGCTGTATTATAAATATATACTTTATAAAATAATAATTAGTCATTAATGGAAAAATAAATTTGCATTCGATGAGAGAGTGCATTTTTTTGATACATTGCACGGATGACAAGATATTATATTGGTTGCAAATATAATTTTTTTTTTACACAAAAAAAGGTTTTTAATAAAACTCTTCTATAGAAATTCGATTTTCGAAAAACTCGTAATATAGAGATGCTGTATTATACAATAATACTTGATTAATAATTATTAGAAAAATAAATTTGCATGCTTCGATAAGAGTGAATTTTTTGATATATTACCTGAATGACACAGGATATTATATTTGTTACAAATATAATTTTTGTTACACATAAAAGGTTTTTAATCAAACGGTTTTTATAGAAATTCGATTTTCGAAAAGCTCGCATGGAGATGATTTATTATATAGAACACTTAATTAATTAATAATTATATGAAAAAAATAAAAGTGTAAATGCTATTTCTCAACATTACGGAGAACCTTATAAGAGATAAAAATTATGAACTTAATAAATTTCTTCCGATTGCCACGCCTTTATGAAATTCCCCACGATGTTCCGACAACGCGCTCGCAATTTTTTCTCGTCTACTTTTATTCTTCTCAAGTCAGCGAAATATCACAGGGCGGAAAACGACGCGACAGAGAGGCGTTCGCACAATATTAGCGCTTTTATCTTCGAGAAGGGCGTCTCCTCTGTGCGCTATCCACCCGGAGCGATGCGGCGAAACTTTTCAGTAGTTCGAGTCGGCGTTTCTCTCGCCGCGCTGCTAGTCGGCGCGATTAACGTACGGGAGAGAGAAAAGCTGCGGCGCCGTCTCGGGTGGGAACGATCGGCCGGCATTGTCGGATACGTGAGGCACGCCGACGTGGGCTCATTATCGCGAGTTAGGGTTGCCGTTCGCGATAACGGCCGTTTGCGGCGCGCAAAGAGCGAGAGCGAGAGAGAGAGAGAGACTGGGAGGAAGTCGAGGCGAGAATACGGAATTGCCTTCGGCGGAAGACGCACGAAGAAAGGGCCAAGGGAGAGGAGAGAGAGAGGGATGCTTACAGGGAGAAAGGGATCGATCGATCGGATATTTAGACGGGCGACTGGCAATATCGACAACCAATATCTGCTCCACATTCGAATAATAGAGCCGCACGGGCGACGCATCTCCTCTCTCTCTCTCTCTCTCTCTCTCTCGGCGAAACAAAGACCTATTAATGCCACTAGGAAGATAGACAGCTGCACATACGTTCTCCGCGACTACGCCCCCGCCATTTTCTCTCTCTCTCCTATTCCTGGTGCATCTTGCGCCCCTTAAATGCACCACGCTCGATCGAACTCGAAGACGTCGCGGGACGCTTTAGGTATGTGTGAGAATTAAGGGCGGCGCATTGTCCGGAGTAGGTCAAAAGAACTTGCTTTTCTTCAAGTTATAGACACACACACACACACACATATGTCTAGATGCTCGAATAATAATTTGCCATTTGTCTTCTTCTTATTTCTCGAGGAGAAAGATGATCCAGCATTTGTTCGTGAAAAAAATATTAGGAGAAATGTAGGAACATATCAAGAATTCTCGGGCAGTGATATCGCTTAGAATTTGATAGAAGCTACAAGATCCCATTTTGGTAAGCCTTATTCGCCAAAATTGCGGCTTTTACCATTCTGAGGGTAGTAGGCACTTGGTAACGGCACAAGCGTCGGATTTGGAAGCCTCTGAAATCCGAAACGTCGGCTTATATACCGTCGCGCGCTGTACACGATGGGATCCTCGCCATCTGCGATCAGCTATCCCGGGCCGACACACATGCGCATACATATACACATATACGTACTTTCGAGTACGCTTGCGACTTACGGGCAAAGATTGGGAAAGGCCGTGGCTTTCTACGTGATTCAAATCTAGATCCGATCTTATCCCCGAGTTAAGAAGCCTGACGTACGTTATCGAGCCGAGAAATCCTGGGGTCTCGATAATTCGGGCCTCGACCAACCAATCCCTCTCTTTTTCTCTCGATCTCTTCTTCGCGATCTCTCCTTCGAATGAAAAAAAAACTCTCCTCCGGAAAGATCACGATAAATATCGCATTTGTATTGTTTCATTCCAATTAATTGTAAATCATGATGGATTCTTCCGAAGAGAAACACTTGGAAGAGAGGTGATGATGGTTCCTTGTCGCCTAATTTAGATCTTTCGAGATGCATCGATCTCGGTCCCTTCTTTGCAATCATTCGGATAAAAAAGACTTTCCTCCGGAAAGATCACGATGAATATCGCATTTGTATTGTTTCATTCCAATTAATTGTAAATCATGATGGATTCTTCCGAAGAGAAACACTTGGAAGAGAGGTGATGATGGTTCCTTGTCGCCTAATTTAGATCTTTTCGAGATGCATCGATCTCGATCCCTTCTTTGCAATCATTCGGATAAAAAAGACTCTCCTCCGGAAAGATCACGATAAATATTTGTATTGTTTCAATTGAATAAATTGTAAATCATGATGGATCCGTCTGAAGAGAAACGCTCGACACGAGAGAGAGGGAAGGTGAGGTGATGATGGTTCCTTGTCACATAATTGAGATCTTTCGAGATGCATTGTACCGTCCTCTTCGCATTACGATCCAACATGCGCCGCTCTAATTGGCCACGAAGACACTCCTCGCGGCTTTGTGCCCGCCTCGTTCAAAGACTAGTCTTGGCACACTCCTTGCGTCCGACCGCTCTTTATGAGGGGAGAGAATATGTTGGCAGTCCTTCGCGATTGCGGGAACGCAAGCTCGTTCGACGGCCCGTCCGTCGGAAGCTCTTGTGCGATATTTCCTGATCATACTCTCTCTCTCTCTCTCGCTCTGCTAGAGGCTCTCGAGTTGTAGAGCGTAGTAACCGCGACACGTGACATGAACCATTGTCGGTGATTTCGTCATGTTCGGTACATTTATGACAGCAAATCGCAATTCTTTTTTTTCTCTATTTTTTCCCTCAATTTTTTCCCCTTTATTTTTTCCATTTATTTGATTGTATATTTTTATTTATATATTATATACATAAGTATATGTATATATTATTATATATAGAGAATTTTCTCTCTTAGAATTTATCCTGAAAAGCATAGTAATCGTGGAACAATATGGTAGTGGAAGAATTTTTTTTATTAAGATTTACACTACGATAAAAAATATTAATATGTACATAAATA